TCCTGCCACGCCCTCTCACTCCAATTTTGCTGCTTTTTTGGCTGCATTTGGATCAGCGAAGGATCCCATTTGGTTCGATCTTGCAATATGTTTTGATAGTCTGTTTTCCGCTCATGTTCTCAGACTATTTCCGACGAGTGTCTGGATCCGGATCAGCTTTTCGCAGACTCAAATCCTGCACTCAAAAACCCGAAATGAGCAAGATATGCGCATTCCTCATCCCTAAAGTGTTCCCGCAATCACTTTCGTGTCGCCCTTCTTTGTTTATCTTCTCTGAACCACTTGTTCTCGAACTGTACATAAACCGCGTCCTAAGTAGGAACCCCGTCTGCAATTAATGTGTGTGCACGAACTGAGTGTAAACATTTCGATGTTTTTGTTGTTCTTTCTGCCCCCATAAGGGGCACGCCTATTCTGTTTCCCTGCACTCGGTTGCATATTTTATGTTCTGCTAGAACTTGCAAGTCGTATGCGTGCTATGGTAACTCTCCTTCGATTTCCATGTAGGACCTTTGCTGATAAAATCCCTGTTTCAGCTTGAAAATCACTTATCGACTATCAGCCGTATTCGTGAGAAAATCATGCCACTACAACTGATTCGTCGTCTGTCTTTTAGACATCGAAGAAACCAAGAAAATGCTGAAAAGGTGAGTCAACTCCATGAGAGGGGCGGCTGCGGCGCGGCTGCGTTGCGTGTTGCGTCGCGGCGTTGTGCTACTTGCACCATATTTTCTGGATTTTCACCATAAAAATTCTTTTTTGTTTTAGAATATCACCGAAACGATGCGAAAAGCATCTTCTTGCAAAGGATTACTCAAAAACGAACGAGCGGAGGACAAGCCACGCCTACCCGATGATCTGTTATTGCGTATCATTGACCAATGTGACGCAATCGAACAGATAAGAATGAGGGCTGTGTGCAAGACGATCAAAAGTCACGTAGACAAAAAGATTAAGAAGGTAAAAAATTCAAAATATCTCCCTGTTCAATCAAAATTACATTAAATTCTTTTCAGATAACTTATCTCAATGTCGAAAAACGTGACATTGATACAGCGTCTGGCCGAGGTTGGGCACGACATCGACACGCTCAAGTGTCGCTGAAAATGCGTATGAATACAGCAAGAATTGTCGTTGATTCAAGGTAAATTACGCTTCCACTCGGGACCCACTCATGTGTTAAGAGGTACTGTAACGGCACTGATGTGTGTTTAGATGGACATCGCGTGATGTGTCCACTGTTGTTGGAGCAATGAGTGTCTATCGAAAGACTATACTCGAAGCTACAATTGATGCTCCAATTGCTGAATTAGTGAGTTTCAGCTCATTTCTTTGCATTTTTTTGCGCTCTACGGTGATTTGCAAAAAAAGTTGTTTCTAGCTGGTTGTATCGTTATCGGCACTGGATCTAAACCGATGGTATGCCTTCCAGTGTTTTATGAAAGCTATGGATGTGTTTGATGAAGATATGCATATGGATTGCGATTTTGTGAATCCTGGAGAGGTGAGGATTTAGCTTTTGGAAAAATTTTCCCGCAAAAATCAAACGTGTAAAGTCCGCGTCAATCGCGTTGTCCCCTTTCCGTTCGCGCAACAGCTGTGCAAGAGCTTCTCAACGCGTTTGCGCGCGTATGCCTTGGGTAGGCCCGCGCCTGCGACTGACGTTTCCTGTGCAAAAAGGAGTACATAGTCGACACAGACTGTAGTGACGCGCACAATCAGACAAATGACGGCTTGTTGTGGTTTTCAGCGCGTCTAGTGCACCTGCACACTGCACATCAAATCATACAAGTCGTTAGTTTGCTTATGATGTGTGTAGATGCACTAAACCATGCACATGACTTTTGTAAAATTCACTAAATAAAGCAAGGTTTGATAAATTACCGCTCTCGTGAACTTTCTTTTATTTCAGGTTTATTGGCCAAATATTCAGCATCTAAGTG